TCTCTCCTTTGTTCGGTGTCCAACCTCTTTGCTTGTGAAGCACTCTGAGACATTACTCTTTGTGAAGGGTGCTATATTTTTTTGTAGGTGAACAAACTATCCTATTTGTGCAAAGCAATGTCCCAGAAACAGCCAGGAGGTGAATGAACTGGAGGAATGCTGGCTAAGACACCAGGAGAAACTCCCTTCTCTTTTCAAATAGTACCATGGGATCTTTAACATCCACCTGAATAGGTAGCTAGGACCTTGGTTTAATGTCTTATCTGAAGGACGGCACCTCTGACTCTCACAATGCAGCATACCCTATACTTCTATTAACCCTAAACTCTAAAAGCTTCAAATAACACATAAATTAAATATCCACATCACAAATTTGAATTAAACATAAAAGCAGTAAAGACTAAGTCTTTTAACCTAGATTCCCCCCTTTCTTTTTTTTCCCCAATTTGCGTCCGTCTAATTTCATTTTTGAACGTTAACTTTCACTTCTGCCTATTACAATATATATTTGCATAAGTAATCACAATAATTTTTAAACCATCTATTTTCCACCATCCCCTACCTTATGCCCAATATTTTAGAAATGAGTACAGCATCGTTAAAAAAGAATCATCGGCTTTAAAAGTTGGTTTCAGACAATCAATAGCCCAAACCCAGTCATACTATAATAATAATTATAATAATAATAATAATCCTTGCATTTGATATAGCGCTTTTCACGTCTTCTAGATGTCTCAAAGCGCTGTAAAGTGAATTGACTGTATATTTGTGGGCAAAACGTGGCAGCCAATTGCGCACAGTAGTGTCCCACCAACAGTCTTGGATTGAAAATGACCAATTTATTGTTGTTTTGGTCAATTGTAGGTCAATTCTTAACAGGATTGTTCATGTTGAAACAGAAAATAAGTTAAGTACAATACATTCCTGAGTAATAAATCCCAATAAAGACTTCCTCTTTGACAGCACCCAACACTAAAAGGCAAAGTAAAAAACCCTATAACATGTTGTGGAATTTGTTTTTGTTCTAGAGCACCGTCAATTTGAACATTAATTCAATAAATTCACTATCGTAGTGGAGTAATTCTTAAATGAAACACACGCTTCCTAAATCGGTGCCATATTGTGAACACGGGAAATGTGATGTGTCTTAGCAACAGTGTAGAATGACCCAGTGTCTCTCAGACCCTCCTAATAAATGTGTAATCTGACACAGAGTTTCGCAATTTCTTCTATTATAGGAAATAAAGTTTCTCAAGACCAACCGTTTTGCAAAATTCCATTTGATATTGCCCTTTTCCTTTACTTAATGCAGTTTCTATCAATTTACTCTGAGATTCTCTGATGCCAGATTTTCTTTGGAGGGAGGGGGAAAGAAAGCACAGCCTTCTGCACCATTTCTTACACACGAGATTGAATTTCACAGCAAAGGTGACGGTGGAAGCTAGTATTCCTTGTGGGCTTGAAGGGTCAAGAAAAAGTGCACTCTGACAGTCTCAAGCTCCCTTTGGAAATTGTGTCTAAGCTAAAAATATCTCCAATGCATCAAAATGGCATTGACTGATCATTGTCTTTTAATGCAAATTCAGAATGCTCGACTATTGATATTATTCTCCCTTACAAGCATTACATTAAGATGACTACTCTTTAATGGCTATTGGAAGTGCTGAGTTCAGTTTCCTATCCTCCCTGGGGTAAATTCTAAAGATGGCATATTTAAGAACAATTAATTCAGGTTTTTGTAAGACATCTCAACTTAGAATTACGGAGCTCTTTCAGTTAGGCCTGCAAACAATAACATCACTGTGAAAAAGCATGCATCCATTGAGGCTAGCCTGCCCACTGAAGTAGACTGGAACTCAACAAATGTAGTGCAGTAAATTGAATGATATACCACAAACACATCTCACTGATTATTGTCTGAGCCCTTGTGGGTTTCAGTGTTGAAAAGAAATGTCAGCATTTCCCAGCCCAGATATAAATGAGAGATTAAATTTAATTAATTTCTTATCGGGTATCTAGACTCTTTAAAAGATCTACAAACATGTCTTAGAACACTGTCAAACACTGATTTGACAGAAATGTCTGCGCAGGTTTAATTGCGTGGAAAAGAATAAAGAGTATAATAATTGTTGCATTTGGTACAGGGCCTTTGATATTGGTAGGTCATCTCAAAGCTCTTCACAAAATGACCATGTATTTTGTAGGCGAACATAATATAAGAAAAGTCAGTGTGGGAAAAGCCTATTTGGCCAAGGAAAACTCATCCATCCACTGTATTAAATCTCCCTTAATGGCATTGCCTAAATAGGCTATGATTTGTGCTGTCTGTAAGGACTTGTTTTAAAGGAACATTTGATGATAGCAATAGGTAAAGAACCCCTCTCAGGATAAGTGGAATCATCCTCTTACAGGTTTTTTTTTTAGAAGAGTATGATTTTTAAAATGTAATGTTTAGTTGCTGGGACTGCCTTTTCTTTAGGCATGATCTGCTAATGAGGCGAGAGGAGGAATTCCCGGTTACCTTTAAATGATTGTTGGGACAAGCCCCAGCCTAGGCCATGGGACTCATTATCAACACAAGGGAAGCTGTCAGGGAGAGTAGGCTTCATCTCAATTTCATCATAATTGCTCTGCCAGAAAAAAGACACGAAACAGACCTGCCAGCCAAGACACCAAAGCACGATTGAAACATTGAAGAACCAATTAGTAAGTTACAGAATGGGACTTTGACTCAGCGATTTGTTTTAGTCTAGGCAGCCCGGGAGTCTAAGTTACACATAGAAACTCATCTTAGGACCCAGTTTGTGTAGTAAATATATGCAAGTGCACTATTATCGGTTGAAAAACATTGCTTAGAAAACACAACGTGAGACACTAGGCATCATATGGAGCTGTAAATTCCTCTGCTTATGCCTCTGTAGAGCTCAGTTTTGAATTCTCGCTGATCACAAACTGCTGGGGCTGAATTTCAACAACCCAAATTCAAAAGCCAATGGTTCGCATAGAATGAGGAGGATTATGTTTACAGCCCATATTGCATCAAGTTAATCCACAGAGCAGTTAACAATAAACCAGCACACTATATGTCAACCTATTTGCTCTCCAGTCAAACCCTACAGAATATCAGAGAAAATAGGTCTGTTTATTGCTGGTGCAATTCCCAAAGCAATATCAATGCAGAAAGTCTAAAGGAAGCAATGAATTTGTCTGTGCTTCAACTATTGATATGATCAAACACAAGCACTGTCAATAATAAGCAAAACAATTATAGAAAAACAGAGGTAGCATATGTGAATGCAGTGTGTTTAAAGCAATTTTCAACACACATCATAGTTACAGAGAATGACATGGTGCGGAAACAGGCCATTTGGCCCAACTGGTCCTCATTGGTGTTTATACTCCATGAGCCCCCACCCCTCTTATTCTCCTCTCCTATATCCCTCTATTCTCTAAAGTTGCCAAAAATTAAGTTTCGCCATGTGACATTATTCCAAGGTAAACTAGAATGATAATTGCATTGTTTTTACAGATGGGAGCACCCGCTTAGAGGAAACTAAGGCACTGGGGCAAATGAAAGCATTACTACAATTATTGCAAAAAAGATACTGTATATTTTGAAAACCTAATTTTTAAACCTACTTACATACCCATATGAAACTGAACTAACAATTGAGTGCCAACATTGATCATCAACTTCTAGGAATGCTGGAATTACCATGAACGTGTGGCAAGAAGATGTGGAACATACAATTTGTAGACTTTTCTGTCCATAGATTTTCTATGAACTTTAAATTGTGGAATTCACAAATCATTCAAGCACAATGACACTGAAAACCATTGAAAGTTTATTTGATTTTAATTATAGAACATCACAGAAAATTGGCGAATATCAATGTTTACCATTTTTTATTAAACCTAGCCAAGGCTTTGAATTAATATCATGTCACGCCATTTTATAGTTGTTGTATTATATAAATTACAGTCAGTTTGGTTGAATATTATATGAATCAATTTCTTCCAACGTTAGAGAAATGAACTGTAAGGAGCAATTAGGTAAGCCAGTAGTCTTCAGATTTGAAAGGAGAGATTTCCAAGAAGAACCATATAGCAGTATGTAAGATATTAAATGCAATTGAGAAAGTAAACCTGGAAGAATACATTAATGTACATTTCAGCTTTCAGATACATTAGGCATTAGATCAAGGGGACACAGGTTCAGGGTTGTAAAGAGCAATTTTAGAACAAACACAACGATATTTCTTTATAAGTAATTAACAGTGGAACAAATTACTGAATGGTGGCAGAGGTCAAGGTATTGGAATCATATAAGAAACAGAAAACTTAAGGTTATCAAGGAATGCAGCAGACCTACAACTTGGGCCTATGTGTCCTTATATGCTTGCTAACAGTTTTATCATGGGCATGATGTTCTGCAAGGTGAATGGTATGGATTTTTTTAAAAAAAATATGCTTGATGAAGGAAACACGAATATCAAAAAATGATGGTGATGTGTATTTTAATGAATGTATTTGTCTCCTTTCTGAAAAGAATCTCATGTTTGGTCTCCAGGGCAGTTAATAATGTTCCAGTGTGGAATCTGAGCATGTGATGCAGTGGTTTATAACTACATTTCCCTGCTCAAGAGACCACAAACACAATATAATCTAGTGGTACATTGAGTGGTCACTGTGGTAACACGTTGAAAAAAAGTCTTGCATGTTGGCTTTTAATATAAAAGGACTACTACCTCTGAATTGTCATTAATTTTTCAAGGACAGAGGCAGTCTTTAACTTTAAAGATTTTAACACAAATACTAACATTTCTATGAGCTCCAATGTAAAAGGCAAGTTCCAGCCCTCACTTTAAAAACAAATCTTTCAGTTGCAATCAACAGTAAAAAGAATTAGCACTCAAACTAATCATTTACAGAATGAACCCCAATAGTACTTAAATACATTAATAGGCAGAGGTATGCTGAATATTAAGTTGTCTATCAGTGGTAAAATAATTGAAATGAAGCTCTTGCAAAGCAATGGATAAATATGAAAGATTATATAATAATTACAATTCATTCTTATAACTCAGAATTAGTAACTGTCTCCTGGCACGCATGCAATTTCTTCTTTTTATAGTGCTGAGAATTCATTTCATATTATAATGATCATGGCTTCATAATGTCTGAGTTTTCACGTCTTGCCTGTGAGCATCTATTCGAGCTGGCACGTTTCTGAATCTAAGATTGTAAATGAGAAAAAAAGCACATTAACTCATTTTAAGCAACACCCTTCATAACAAGACTAAATCAAGTACACAAAGTAAGCTAACATGAACAATGTTAAAATGTGAGTCTCACCATCAAGACTTTTATTATATTTTGTTTGAGCGTGAGAATCCTTATTTTCAAGCCATCTTTGTTGGAGTGTGCTGTGTGTCTCACTATCATACATATCACTATATTGAACCCAGGAGTACTATTAAGACCAGCAACTGGAGTGCTCTGAAGCTGCAGTACTCCAAGGCAATTTAAAATTTAATTTAAGAAATGGAAATGTTAAAAGAATATAAAATTACCTCTGAGAGTGATTTATTGAATTTTAAAATGCCATTGTTATTAGTCAGGTTTTTTTCAGTACGAACAGGTTTGTTTGTTAGTTATCAGCTACTACATACAAACATATGAAAATAGCGATAAGAGGCCATTCAATCCACTGAGCATGTTACACCAGTTTAATAGATCTTGACAGATATTTTATTCCTTCTCTTTCGCCTACCCCTAGAGTCAAATCCTTGAATACCCCTTCCCTGTTACTCAAGTATCTGTTTCTCTCTCTCTTTAAAACATTTATTTACTCTTTCTCTACAGCTTTCTGGAGAACAGCTTTCCACTTCTTCACCACTCTTTGTGTAAAATGCTTCCTGATCTCAGTTCTAATTAATTAAAAGGAATAAACGACTGCTGATCTGGAAACAAAATATTGCAACTTCCTCGTGTCAATTTCAGGTACAAGTTTAAATTCAGACATTTTATACTTTGAATGAATATTTCGACAAGATAATTATTTCCATGAGTAAGAGGACCGAACAACTGTTAGTTGTGTAATATTCAAGGAAAGACATATTTTTAAAGTAATTTGAAATGTTTTCTCATTGGCTGCATCACGGCAGAAAAAGAGCTACCGGAATCCAATTTTTTAAATCCTTCATATTCTTAAATAGCATGTTTTATTTCTCTTAGCACTGTGAGTCTCGGGTGCAGATCCCTGTCTGTCCAGCGCCTTGGGATGTTCTCCTGACGTGAAAGGAGTTATACAAATGTGATTTGTTTTTGTTGTCGTCACAAGTGAACTTGTCATCAGATTACAAATCAATTTCTTTTGTAAAAGTAGGCATGACCGTAGAAGCCAATATTCTTAAACTGTGTATTTCCCCAAAAGATCTTCAATATCTTTAAATTGGTTATTATGACTTTAAATTGAAGAGCAGTCAAGTCACTGTGTGTATGCAGAAAAAATACATACAGCAAGGTGCACTAGTATATCTAGGAGAGTATTGCTTTCCAAAATATTCATGCTCAAGTTGTACAGCATGTTACACATGGACAAAATTTAGCACACAATGGGCCCTAAATCACATTTTGATCATTACTCATGTAAATTAAGATGTCTGGAGTTATTTGGGGGTAATTATGGCAAACGAAAATTAATTTTGAGACTTAAATTTCTGCAAGGTTTATATTATTTTTTATATTACAACTTTTTCTTTCCCTTTATTCTCTATTTTGGCACACTTAACATTATTTTTCAACCAGCCAATTGAACTGATGCATTAAACAATATGATTAACAAATAGACTTCAGTTATAGATTTCTACAATATATAATCGAGTGAAGGTAATAGAAAACAAAACCATCTGAGTTAAATGAACTGATATGTGAATTAGCTACCACTTAAGAGAACACCTTTTCAATACAATACAAAATTACACTTGTATAGCGTCTTTCACATTGGGAAGACGCCCCAATACCAATTTTCCACTGTGCAGTGGCTATTTCCCCCCTTTTTTATAAACATATTTCCTATGCTGATCTGCCCCTTGAACTGACATCTGACCAGTAGCCTCAGGCCCATCAAAAGATTGGCCAAGTAATGGAATTCAGCTTTTTTTCACCTTTTCCTCTCTCCTTGGGAAGTAGGTCACAGTTTTCCTAGATTTCTGGATTTAATACTTCTGTGGAAACTCAAGTTTGAACATGTATCCTATAAGCATACAGTGTGACATTTTGCTGTGAATTAATTTTACATACACTATTCACAACTTGGCGCTTTGAAATGTTGTTTCTGTTACCACTATTGCCAACTGTATGGCCAAGCAATACCAAGGGAATTATATGATTGCAGAACAGTCTGCTTCGTTGAATTCGCTGTTCTGGCTACATTTATTCACCCAAATTTGGTTCAGAAATATGCAGGATTGGTTACTTTCCAGTTTATCCTGTAGTTACAGTAACTGGGGAGTAGTTCATGTTTGAATGGAATCTCATTACTGTTCACTAAGAAATACCATTGAACGATTCACCTTTAATAATGAGTATTGCAGGTGCATCAGGAACTTGAATCCTATAAAATTCAATAATTCCCAATATATAGCTGCAACATAACCAACTAAAAGAGAAAATAGGTGGGTGGTGATTAACAAAATGCCTTCAACTTCTGGTCACCCCCTCCAACATGAAATAGAGATGCTAAGTTCAGAAGTACATGATGTGATGTATAGCATCAATGCTGTCTGAGCCACCCAAAGCATATGACAGAAGGTGAGGAAGAAACTTCACAACTTAAAGACAAAATACGAAGATAAAGGCTGAACACTTGTCCAGTTGTAAAATAGAACATATATTCTTATACATGAATAGTAGGTACAGCTATATTTGCAGGAAGTTTTAAGGGCTCCAAGACACTACCCTGCATGAAGGGATGAATGCACATAAATGCATGTCTTGATGTAAGTTGGATAGTGAAAATAAAGGCACCGGAATAACACAGCACAACTTCAGGGTTTGTCAAAAGCAATTTAAGACAGATAGCGGGATGTATTTCTTTACATGGTACACATCAGCAGAACCTGGAGGGGCAGACTAGTCAATGGGGTAATTCTTCCCCCTCAGCTCCAATTAACTCTCAAGCCAAATCCCTAACAGGTAGAATAAGTCCTAGGTAGACGAGCAGTGGGATAACAGTGCTTTCAATGGTAAACTAGGTAGTAACCTAATGTACACTATGGGATCCCAATCCTTGGCTCTTGCCAACCTGTTCCCAATACTCTACCACGTCTATGGAATTAGGTAAGCAGGTTGTGTCCCTCTGGGGTGAAATATGCATTTCATTCTAGACATGGAAATCTATGTGTAGGTGGCACTCATGGAATTCTCAGTCTGGTTTCGATATCTTCAAGCATGGTGATGGCTTTCCACTTGTGTCAAGACACCCAGCTGACCAAAACAAATATATTGTTTCCCTCCTACTCAGAATACATTATTATCACAAGATTAGTTTAGATGAAGAAGACCCTTCAACCTATCTGATCTCATCCCTCCAAATACCCACCCTCTTCATAATAATAATCCTTGCATTTGATATAGCACCTTATTACATTGTTGAGACGTCTCAAAGCGTTTCACAGAATATACTGTAAAGTGGATTGGCTGTGTATTTTGTGGGTGAAAGACGCCTTCTCATCACAGCATCAAACTATTTTTTTAAAATGATTGCAGTGTCCTGGCCTAAACTACCTTTCCTGGCAACTTCTTCCATTTGTTAATTACCCGTTGCGTAAAGAAAAACTTTGTGATATCAGTCCTGAAATTGCCCTTTGAAACTCTAGATCTATATCATCTTGTTCTACCATCCTGGTGCATCCTAAAGTACTGATCTGGGTTTACTTTTTCAGTCCCATTTAATAAATTGCATCTCGGCAAGGACCCCTCTGAATCGTCTGAATCTCACAAACTCCTTCTAAACCTGTGTTCTCTTGTTCTACTGTCTTGATACCTTTTAAATATTGATCTGGGTTTACTTTTTCAATTCCATTTACAATTGTGTACATTTGTCTACAGGTAAATTTTCCTGACATGCTGTTACTATTTAGTAATGTCTGTATTTTAGCTAAGAAGAGTGAGATGAAGAATGTTCGATTTCTAGTTTATTTTAAGGAAAGGTAGAATTAATTAATTTAGAATTAGATTTTGTCGATCTGGGTTCTCCTTCATGATCTCTCAGCTAGTTAGGATATAGACACATTTAAGCATTTTTTACGTGAATATTCAATCAACTGCCCTATTAGTTGGAAAGAAGGATTTCAAAGGGTTTATTTAGAGGACAATTTCCTTTGAAGTGCAGTCATAAAGTTATTTTGGATTTATTTAAGGATGAGGAAAACTGATATAATAAAACAGGTTGTAGGGAGGACAACTGAAGAAGGAACCAGAATTTGGCAGACTGACAAGTTAATTGTTATGCATGAAGAATACTTTTCTGGCAGTAAGCCCAAAAGGACCCTGATTTTTGGAATCCATCACATTAGCAGTATCCAAACCAGACTAAGAGTTCCACATACTCCGCCACCTACACATGGAAATTTCCCTGTGCCAGGAATGGAATGAGCACTCTCCCTTGAGTGATGCATCCTGCTTACCTAATTCTAAACCTAATAGCCAAAACTTGGAAACTTGGAGACTCCAGAGTATGATTAGGTGGTTAAACAACTAAAAACGCATTGCTTACTATTCAGGGAACTGCCTGGCAAGCTTCCGCTGGTTGTTGCTGTGGCAAGGATTACTCTACTGGGTTAGGGCTTTGGCTTGCAGTGCTAATTTGAGCCATTATCCTTATTGGCTATAGAGAAAGCTGTAGGAATGCATTGAATAGCTTCAACAACAATTTCTACATTCCATTTCTTGACTCTCGGTTGATACGTGGTACATCAAGATGTTTCAGAGAATAGTTTATTGCTGTGTAGAGTAGACAAAAGAGTAAACTTTTTAAAACCAATGAAGGACAATGAAAGTCTCCACTGTGGTGTACATTTTAGGTTAGATAACCCTGGAGATATAATTTATTGAGTTCAATTAATTCTTGTAAAAGGATGATGTTCCTGGGATAATCTTGGACAGCTGTTGAATTTGATGCATTGGGAAACAACAGCTCATTTACTATATGCAATAAAAGCCTGCAATGTAGAAAATATTTTGATAGGATAACTTGGCAAATTTTGCTTACGGAATATATAACTTGGTTTTGGACTATATATAATCAGCATGCCACAAAACAAAAATTAACAGATGAGTTTTATCACTCTTTTTGGATTTAGCTAGAGGCAGAAGACAAATCTGTTCTCCTTCCTATTTGTTGCTTGATTTAGCAGATCAGATCTGAATAAAATGAGACAAAATTTAAAAATTCAAAGCACTTGAACCATGTGCAATGTACAGCCTGTTCATATAATGACTTGCATGTGAGCAAGACAGATCACACAATTAATAATACTATAATAATCCCTGCATTTGATACAACGCCTTATCAAGTCTATATTCTTATCAGAATATATTGTAAAGTGTAGTGACCATGTTTTTTGGGTGAAATAATATAATAATTTAATATATTATAGTATAATAATATGATATAATATACTTCCTAATATTTCATTAATTAACAAGTGGATTGATCCAGTCAGCAAGGTGAAGTGGCTTGACACTGGGGAGGTAGACCAGGCAGTAATCCGCATGAAAAGAGAAAAAGTTTAGAATGCAAAAAAGGCCATTCAACTCGTCAAGCCTATTCTTTCCACATACTCATAAAACCTACCCCATTGTGAACCTCATCCATCACTCCATCTCCTGGAGGAAAATATTCAACAAATGCTCTCTGAACGTCAAAGGTAATCAAGTAAAAACTTTATTTGAATATTGGCCACATCTGCACAGATGATCTCTCCCTAATACAAATTAGCAATCTGGATCTTAACATTTTTTAAAAAAAATGTGAGGACAAAAGGAGAAAATATTCCATAACAATCCCAGGTTTAACAGAAGTGAGCAATTTCCAATCAAACTTCAGAGTCACCAGTAAAGGATTTTCAGAGATTCATCCCTCATGTCACTTACTATAACATTTTTTTTAATCGAGCTCAAAAATAATACTATAGGGATGGTGCTATGCAATGCAGCTTTTTTTGAAGCATTGATGACAATGCTTGAAGGAGGTTACAAGAGTGACTTACTTGTTCAGGATAAATGAAGTTTTAGACTTGGAGTCACTTGCAGAATCTGTGTGGGTACTCTTTTGGGCCCCTTTACTGGAAATAGTTTTCTTTCCATGTGACTTTCCATGTCTAAGGAGCTCTTTCTGTTCTATCTTCTTCTGAAACTTGCTCAAGGGAACCAGGTCTGCAGATGGAATTTTTCATTAGTTTATGTTTTGTTGCCCATTATTTTAAATTTTTCCCTCCTTCAATGCATTCACAATCATGTCTTTACTGCAACAAGTACTGATGTCTGAAAAGATTAACCCTGGTAGTTAGTGAAATACAAAAAAAGCCAGAGCCTTCAGTTGCATGATGCACACTTCAAAAACTCTGGTTCAGTAAGCAATGGTTAAATCTGCAATCAAACTTTATGCACAGGATCTGCTCCTGGACTCCTGCTTGTAATACCCTAACCTATTCTTCAACAACAGCAGATAATGTAGCCAGTTCATGAGAAAAAGAAAGATTGATAGAATTTAAAGCAATCTGGGCTAAAAATGGTAGATAGACTTTAATATTGATAAATGTAATATTTTGCACATTGAAATTGAAAAATTGAAACTTATGTGTAAAACAAAAGAACATTCAATAGCAGAAAAGGCTAAGGATTTCAGGATGATTATTGAACATTCGTGCATTAGAAAGGCTTTAAGAGAAGTAGGATTTTAAAGGAACAATGACCACTGAGATAGAATAGAAACAAGTAAATGTGGTTCCTATCCTTAAGAAAGCGACAGAGCAAATAGATAACAATATCAGTAAATCCAAAGTCTTGCCCATCCTACCCCTGTAATCTCCTCAAACCGACCAAACTGGCTGCTCCTTTCTCTAAGGGGGCACTGGACTGCTTTATGTCCCTCGCTCTAACCGCCCATCATTGGGCTTTCGGTCTATGGAACTTCTCCGCTCTCTGGAACTCTATTCTGAAGTCCCGATAACTCCCTCGCCTTTTTCAAGGTCTGTCTCAAAACCTTCCTTTTCGACTACACCTTTGATCATATTGCCCCTCCCCTACCAATCGGCTCCCACCCTCAGCTTGGGTGCCAAGCCATGACTGTCCTGCTGATGTGAAAGGCGCTGTATAAATGTAAATTTCTGTTGTATTGTTTTAGTAGTTGGGATTAATATTACAATAGTAAAGCTTTTATTGATGTTTGAGTAGATTTATTACTGCAATATTAGTCTTTTTTTTCAGCCCCACAATATGCAAGTTTAAATGACTAGAACTGGTTACACACAAGCTGGTTCCAAGGTGTAGAAAGATTGAATGTTATAAGGATAATGGTAGATTTGTTTTCTGGGATAGGAAGAAACCTCGCCAAACATTTTGTCAGGAAATTAAACAAGTTAAATGGAATTCGTGATCAATTCGGAATCCTTCCAGCTCAGTGATTAGAGCACTCACAAGCAAGAGACCTGGGTTCAATTCCCAGCAGTGTGAAACCTTGGACAAGTTTCCTTACTCCACACGCCTGATAATAATCCCTCAAAAAAAATAATAAATTGGTCATTTCAATCCACGACTGTTTGTAGGACATGGCTGTGCACAATTGGCTGCTGCATTTCGTCCACAAATATACAGTCAATTCACTTTACAGTATATTCCGTGAAGTGCTTTGAAACGTCTAGAAGACGTGAAAAGCGCTATATCAAATGCAAGGATTATTATTATTATTATAAGGTAGCACTTGTTTTGCAACAAAAATTGCACTTCATAGCATGGACCAAATAGCTTTTTTCTTGTTCTATGTTTACTTATTGTCACAGGGTACATATATATACAATATAAAAGACACATTTTATGCTAACAATTCCTGTATTGCTACTTTGGTCATAATCATGTGGAATAATGTCAGTTCAGATATATTTTCACAATGTTGTGAAAGATGTACACAAATGTAACATAGTTGTAGGATCCTGACTATGCTGCTTTTAATCTGTCCACCAAGATATCCGTGAAACAACAACAAAATTACATTTGTATAGCACATTTATTCACTGTACAAACACTGGACGATTAGTGCTTTGGAGCCGAGCTGGGGATCGGGGAGAGTGGAGGGTGGGCGGAGAAGGAGGGTGACTGAAGGCACGGTCGAAGAGGAGGGTCTTGAGATAGGTCTTGAAGGAGGCAAGTGAGGGTGCGAGGCGGGGGACGCGAAGTGGGCCAGAACCCGCTGAGCGAAGGGAATGTGCAGGTTGGTAGGGGGTTAGAAGGTCGCAGAGGTAAGAGGGAGCAATGCCGTGGTGGGCTTTGAAGGTGAGGACCAGGATCCTGAACAGTATCCTCTGTGTGATGGGAAGCCAGTGGAGTCGGGTGAGGATGAGGGTGATAGGGTCACGGAGCCTGGTGTGGGAGAGGACACGGGCTACAGAGTTCTGGATGATCTGCAGCCGATGGAGAGAGGAGTTGGGGAGGCCGACAAGCAAGGAGTTTGTGTAGTGGAGCCTGGATGTTATGAAAGCGTGTATGAGGGTTTCAGCGGCCTGCGGTGTAAGACAGTGGCGGAGTCGGGCGATGTTGGTGGGGGAAGGCAGAGCGAGTCATGGCACGGATGTGGGGTAGAAAGGATAGTTGAGGGTCAAACAAGACGCCAAAGTTCCGGACTGGCTTAGTAAGGTGCAGTGTGCATCCATGGATGGTGATGCTGTCAGTGCTTGAGGTGAGGAGGCGCTAACGGGAGTCAATCAGGAGAGCCTCAGTGGTGTTGACATTCAACTGTAGAAAGTTAGCTCTCATCCATTGATATCTGACAGACATTCTGTCAAGACAGCAGTGGAAAGTATCGCGCCCTCGGTTTTTTCTCCATTCCTGTGGAGAAATGCTGTAACTCCAACGCCTCTTCTCTATTACATATCATTTAAAAGAATACATTAGAATACATTAGAATATACAGCACGGAAACAGGCCATTCGGCCCAACTGGTCTATGCCGGTGTTTATGCTCCACATGAGCCTCCTCCTGCCCTTCCTCAACTAAGCCTTCAAGCATAACCTTCTATTCCTTTCTCCCTCATGTACCGATCCCTTAAATACATCTAAGTATTCATATTCCCCCTTTTTACCTTCATATTTATTTATAATTATTTATAGTTATAATAATAATCCTTGCATTTCATATAGCCCCCTATCACATCGTTGAGACGTCACAAAGCGCTTATTTCACAATTAGTAACCTGAAAAATTACCTCCAGGTTCTTCCTTGGAATTCACATCCTGCAGTCCTTTCTTCCCTTCCTTTTGCTGCTGGATCCATTCGTTAGCGTACTCATTATTAAGCAATTTGGTGATGTTCACAGGTTCTTCTATTCTTGGTAAGGGCCTAAATAAAAGGGTACTTATTACAGGAAAGGAGCAGCATTTAGCATTCTCAAGATATCCTCAAAATATCTTTTTTTTGTTTTTGGTCACGTTGTGTTCACCTCAGTGTTTAAACTATTGCTTGTAAACAGCGATAAATATTAGTGGGAAAACTTCACAATAATTTAATTTTGTGCTTTTCATTTTTTAAATACCATTTGCAGAGTACCTTTTTATCTGTGATCAGATCAATTAGATTTTCTCCAACTTCTCTCTTGTTTTGGGTCTTGCCAGCCAGGTACCATAGCTTGGCTGAGCTAGACCAGCACCTTGGGACGTCCTCCCGACGTGAAAGGCGCTCTATAAATGGAATCTTGTTGTTGTTGTTGTATACTATCAGAGATCTACCAGTCACCAGAAGTTACGCGAGGAGTGACATGGGGTGGCTCCCTTTCCAATTTTCCTTTCATTTCAGTAATAAAGTGTCTACATTAATGTCTGGAACAGCAGCACTAAAATCAATCATTAAACATTTTGGGAATTGAACACCCACTGGCACACACATGTTCGATGTCATCGTACACTGCTTCTGGAGAACAACCACGTATGCAAAAGGCCATTCTCTATATATTTTAACAATCTAAATATAGACAAGCAAAAATACAGTTTTTATCTCTCTGTAAGTCACACCATGGGGACAAATAGGCACTAGAGTGCCTAATGTATGAGTTTTCACTGGAACAGAAGTTTTGATTCAAAAAGGATATATTTTCTCACTATTTATGAGGTAGATTTAATATTCAAATTTGTTCATGATTTGGTGCAATTTTAAACATGAATGTTTTATGCACTTGAGATGGAATACACTCTAGATACAATATAATACCAAATTATATTTGTATAGCGCCTTCCATGGCGGGAGGACGTCCCAAGGCAGTGGACAGTCAGGGATTTGGACCTGAGCTGGGGGTCAGGATCGGGGAGGGTGGAGGGCAGGAGGTTGGCCGAAGGCGCGGTCGAAGAAGAGGGTCTTGAGACGTGCCTTGAAGGAGGTAAGGGAGGGAGTGAGGCAAAGAGAATGAGGGATGTTCCAAAGGGTGGGGGCAGAAAGGCTGAAGACTTGACCGCTGATAGTGGGGATCAGTTCTCCAATTAACTGATCATCGCCACGCCCCCCCTCCCACCCTTCACACCACCATTGTGCCACTATTGGTGGCTGAGCCTTCAATCATTATATAATAAATAATCTTTGCCTTTGATATAACGTTTTTCATGTATTTATTTCATATGATATATATACTATATTATATATGATATATATACATAAATATATATATATAATATAGTGATTTTCAATCGCTACACCCCTAACTTCTGGAATTTCCTGCCTCCTCTCGGTTTCTTTAAATCCCAAATTAAAATTGATCTCTTTAACTGCTCCTACGGTCATCTCACCTTCCCCCCTTCTTGGCATCCGACCCCACTAATGAGAAACGCAAAGACCTTATCCGATATAAAGGGTGCTATATAAATGCAAGTTGTTGTAAGTTATTTGCACCTGTTTATTGAAGATAGATGAAGATGATCCTGTGCCAACTCTTAAAAAGACCTTAGTTTTACATGAGTTCTGAACAGATTCTCTATAATAATAATCCTTGCATTTGATATATCGCCTCATCACATCTTCGAGATGTCTCAAAGCACTTCACAGAATATACTGTAAAGTGCATTGACAGTATATCTTGGAAATTGATCATTTTCCCACCAATAGTGAGAATGCAGATATACCGTTCTTTGGAACCTTGTGTAATGTTGCTGATGAATTTAAAAAATAATGATATCCATAGAGGAAATATGAACACAGACAAACAAATGACTAAAGACAATAGTTAGTTGTCAATAATAATTATATTAAATAACAAGCTCCTTAACAATGCCATGAGTTTGATATGTAATAATAATAATAATCCTTGAATTTAATATAGTGCCTTATCACGTCTTCAAGACTTCTCAAAGCGCTTCACAGATGATACTGTAAAGTGAATTGACTGTATATTTTATGGGCGAAACGAGGCAGGCAATTGCGTACAGCAAGAAGAGGCAGAGGTGTTCCACAAACAATCATGGATTGAGTGACCAAATTATTATTATAATTTTTTTTGAAGGAATTATTACCCCGGAAAAGCGATCCACCAATCGACTATCAACCGAGTTCCTCCTTACTGATAGGTAAACAGAAGCATGTGGATTAAGGAAACTTGCTCAATGTTTCGCCCTGTCGGGAATCTAATTCACGTCTCTTGCTTGCGAGGCGAGTGCTCTAACCACTGAGCTACAGGACTCCACGTGTAGCCAGGTTACACATTTCCATTGTATGCACCTGCCTTGCAGTGCATCATTTATATGTGAGAGGGAAAGAAGGGAACACCAGACGGCATTTCCCCAACGTGGAGTGGGAGAAAGAAGAGGCAGAGGTCAATGCCACTGTCCCTAACATCTCCACTTGCCCCAGGAGTAAGGGACAGCTGCACCTCAAGACACCTACTGTAAAGACGTCTCGTGGCTCTGCTACACTTCTCACCCTCTTTCCACCTCAACACTCCAGAGCTTATTGCTTGGTTCCATCATCTACCTTCCCCTCAGAGGTGCCTTGCTGTGAGTGGCACTGTGCAAATGTACTGCTTGCTGCAGAATTGGACTGTCATGTGTGAGCTGAGGAGTGAGCCATCATTCCCTGGGTCTTTTATTCTCTTCCATTCTCTTCTTTGGTGTCCTTATCATCTTCCTTATCACCTCTTCTTCCTCCAGGAGTTAACAGCTGCTGGCAATTGCTACTCTTGCTGCTGCTTGTGCTACTGCTGTATGTGCTGAAGTGCGGGTACAAGAGCTCCCTACAAACTGGTGACTGCATTGAGGCTGAAAGAAACAAATAAGAGTACATGAACACATTTCTTTTGGAAGTCATGTTGGAAACAATGTTAAGACGAATGATCGTTAATAACAATGTACCTTGTCGGCCACAGCTCCCAGTTATCCCATATTCTTTCTCTCCCTCCAGGGGTATCAGTGGAGCTATTATCTGCTCTGTCACCATCAGTTCTTGCATCTATCTGTAGGGTATCTCTATGTGCCCCCTACTGGCTGCAGTTGTGCATAATCTGAGAACAAATCATGTACAGTCATTAATTTCTCCATTGTGCTGGCCCCCACTTTTGAGGACACACCAAGATGTCCCTGAAAATCATCCTGTCTTGTTAATCTTACCTTTGCACTAGCCTTCCACTCATTAGCCATCCTCTCCTTGGAACCACCAGCAAAATTGACCTGAAGTGCCAACTCCAACCAATCCTTCCTCCATTGCTAGGATCAGGCAATGTTATCAATGGCTTCAAAAAGACTCCTCTAGATCGCAAGGCGAATGAGGCCAGTGACAGTTGTCCCACAGAGCTCAGGATCCTCCTGCCTTGCTATACCTTCATTGCAGTTTGATGCTGCGAATTCCCATTGAAAACAGCACATATATATATATACGACCATCACATCTAGGCAACTATCACCCTGTTGCACTTGTTGTAAGGGGTCAGAACCACATTCTGAAAAAGACTTCTGTCTGGCTGTCAGATTTTGACTCTGTCAGAGACTAACACTGAAAAATTAAAAATTTAATTCGTTAACATTTTGACACAAGTAATTATTTGGGACTACTGCCCAGACCCCTTGACAAAAGTACCATTTGCTACCTCTTCGACCGTACCCATGATCATCTCCCTTCCCCGTGGCTTGGTGCTAAACCATTTTGTAGCACTCCTAGACCCTATCATGCTTGAAGGAAGGAATACAAGTGGTTGGTGAACTGGAACCTAGGGTTCTGTAATAACATTTCAGAAAACCTGCGTAATGCCAAAGTGTGGATGGTTTCCTGTCAAACCATCCCCTCGTAACAAAAACGTATGTTTTGTGAATCAACAAAATAAGTTTCCATGGTTTTGCTTTGGGTTCCCAGAGGTCATAATCGCGCTATATAGTCATCTCATCAGGCTGCACCTAGAGTATGGCATACAGCTCTGATCGTCCTGACATAAAGGGGCTGCCCAACCCAGGTCCTAGAGGCAGTGCAGAGAGTAATGAGGATGATCCCCAGTTACAGAGAAATTAAAAACAACAATTAGACAAGTTAGGGCTCTTCAGTCTTCAAAGGAGATATCTCAAAGATCTTACAGGTGTATATACATTTTTTTAAATAGGATTTGGAAAGTAACCCTAGAACAATGCCTTTGGATGGACTAAGACTGTAGAACAAGAGGACACAGGTTTAGAATTGCAAAGGACAATTTCAAAACAGACAGTAGTAATTTCTTAATGCAGAGGGTAATCAACAACTAGAAGAGGTTACCAGGAAAGATGGTAGAGATCAGGATGATGAAGTCATTCAAAAAAGGGCTTTATGCTGTAATTGGAAGTCAGTAGGGTGGGTGTTCTAGAAGGATGAGATTAAATGGATTAAAGGCCTTCTTCACCCAGACCACTCTTGTGACATGGTAATTAATTTATGGCAATGCAAAAATGCAAGAAAGAAATTCAAACTGACACTGAGGAACTTAAGCCAGAATTTTATGTTGTCATTTAACTGGAAAATGGAGCAGTGCTTTTTTGTTGGGTATACCCCAGTTTGAGGCCTGAGGGAATTCATCAAGGCAGCAAAAAAAAAAACCTGAATAACTCAGGCACCCACCTAAGAAACCTTTCTGAAACTATTCACTAATCCCTCACTGAGACAATTTACATTACTCCAAAATGATAATTCTGGAGAGCGATCACTACACCTATACTGAAAGTAAGTAATATCAATTTTATAAACAAAACAGCTAAATATATAGGTTCGTTTTTGTTATAAATATATAAATACCATTATATATATATATATAGAGAGAGAGAGAGAGAAAGAGAGAAATTCTAATTATTTTGTAGGTAAAATATCATTTGCCCTTGCAAGTTCATGCATTCTGCTTCAGAGGGGATATTCTGATGTCAACCCTCTGCCAATGAAAGATACTCTATAATCAGCAAGTGCATAGCACAATGTTCCCGAGGATTTTATTTTGAGGAGTTCTTCATGCTTCACCTTAATAACTCCCCATGTGATATGGGTGAGACCTGGAACAAAGTATAGAAAATCTTGGGTGCACATTGATGTACATGGTGTTGGTGAAGTATGCCCATTACAAAACCACTTTAAAACTATTGTTCAGAGAATGTATAATGTTAAAACACAGAATGACAGCACTAATGAAATGTGGCATCCCTGAACATGCTCCACCAGATAATTCTAGGGCAGTGTTGGAGCATCTGGCAAAGCTCAAACATACACTGAAGACATGTGGTAGATCAATAAGATGGGCAATGAAGCTTCACAGATTCTTGAACAAATGACGTTCATGTGCTGCCTATTCCTTACTAAGTCTTTCTCACTACAGATGGCAGGCCAAAAAACTATCTCACTAGCTGAGTGCTTCATGACTAACAGTAACTTAAAGTAACTACAAGCAGTACAGGCAAGTTCCGTATGAATGCATTAGATGACAGATTTTTTTGCCTCACATTAATTTAGCAGAGGAGGTTGTGAGTTTCATTGCTCCACAAATTCTACACTGTAGATCTGATAGTCAACATTACTTATATACTGAAATCGTGAAGCAATTGTCAAATGACAATGTCCCTGCACTTTTCTGACAGGCAAACACTATCCATTAAATATGGAAAATACTAGGTACTGCATGTAAACAAGCCCTTCCAGATTGCTACTTACATGGGTGGAAATGTGCATTTATTTGCCAAGTGATCTCCTCTTGCTGTTTTAGAAGACTCTATTTTTTTGGTTGTAGAACCAAACATTTTCTCCTTTTGTGTTTTGTTTCCAATTGCTGGCAATTTCAGCTGCAGTGCAGAAAATACAATTTTTAACAGAATTAGATAAGGCAGCAATATTAAAAGCAGCAGGTATTAATAATGGAGGTGTGCAGTTCATCTGGGTAGTTATACCTGCTATAGGTCCAGCACGTTTGTATTTCATCAACAAAAACAATGTTCCAGAGGGAGCTATTTATAAATAATTTTTTGTTATTGATCATTAACATGTTCTTAAAAGAGGAAATCTTACATTCTTTTAATAAATATTTGCCCTACAAAGATTTAATCTTAAATTAATAATTAGGATTAAATAATTGAATTAATAATTAATTTTCTTCGATACATATGTTGAAGGTTTTAGCTAGCAAAGTTACTGAGCCTAAAAGTGCAGGGAGCTGAATTAATAATTTACAGAGTTAATCCTGATGTGCCCTTACTTTAACCGCTATCTCTACCGACGTCACAAGCTGAGTGTTCAAGTTGCTTGAACTTGTTCAAGTTCCCAATGTTGACATAACTCATCATGTTAAAATATATATTTAAGTGAGATGAAACCAAAGTATATATCCATGGCAAGAATAACATGGCAACGCTAAGATCACTGGTTGAATACAGTTGAACAACAACTACTTGCACTTATATAGCATCCTCCATGCAGGGTAGCATCTCAGAGCGCTTAAAATTGAAAATCATGTAGTTAAAGATAACTAAAAGTCAGTTTGCTTGTCTTTGTTGAAATTGTTTAGCAAGATCTGAATCCCAAATGTGAGGATCACATTTTATTTTTATTTTTTTTTAAGCCCAGTATCTGGCAAAGAAGAATGAAATGTGTGCAATTTCATGCATCTTTGCCAGACTACTACAATAACTTGTATATATAGTGCCCTTCATACAGGGTAGGGTCTAAGAGCTGGGGAGAGGGGGGAGGTGACTGTAGGCACAGTCGACGAGGAAGGTCTTCAGCTTTGATCTGAAGACAGGGAAGGAGGAGGCAAGGTGAAACGATTGAGGAAAAAGAGTTCCATAGTTTTGGGTTGTTGATGGTGGTGCGAAGGGGACAAGAGATGTGCAGGAGACTGGAACAAACCTGATGCCTAGGTTATGCACAGGTTTGGTAAATCTGAGGGATAGGCTGGGGAGGTTGAGCAGAGGCAGTGGGTAGTGGAGTGGGATGTAAGCAAGTAGGCTGTAATAAGGAGTTGTATATTCTTGTGATAAAGAATTTCATTGCACAGCAAAAGAAGATATTCGGAGCCAGAAATTAAGTGATATTTAATGTGTTATGTGTTAATTCTTTTCTAAAGGTGTTTGAATCATGTTCAAATCTATGTGTGATTAACAGTCGGATAAACATAATATGGAATGATTCCTGATTCTTTTAAGCCAGGCCTGAGGTCTTTGATTCAAAATATTGGGCACAGCAGTGTCCCACAAACAGTCATGGATTGAAAATGACCAATTTATTATTGTTTTGTTTTGGAGGGATTATTATAAGGCGTGTGGAGTAAGGAAACTTGCCCAAGGTTTTGCCCTGTCTGAAATTGAACCCAGGTGTCTCGCTGGCAAGGCGAGTGCTCTAACCACTGAGCTACAGGACTTCACTTGTCCATTCCTGTCTTCATCAGACAGGTATGGAAGTTAAATATAAATAAGGAACATCTCCATGAATAGTTGGAACTAGAATATACTCAAAGGAAGATACTCTTGACTCTATTTAGGATGACAGAGCCTGTCAACCTCACATAGAAATGAGATTTGTATCACCTCTGAAGAGAGCTGAGTTTGTGGCCATTATCAGGCTACCTGGAGGTATTAGTTTAGTTGCATACTGTATTTGCTACAGGAATAATGACGGATTGAACAGCAAAATATATTTTTTAACTAATGCAGATACAAGACCAGGTCAGCAAATTAAGCCTCAGCATTCTTAGTCACTAACAAATAACACATGGCTGCTCCTAAATCATATGTAATTTCCATCTTTGCCTTACTTAAAGAAACAAGATCTGACTTTATCAATTAAGGTAATTTGCAAAATATTTGATTACCTTTACTTTTCTTTTATTTTCCTTCTCATTATCTTCTGCCTCCCTTTGCAACTGTTTCTTTTCAGTATGTTGTGCTGCTCGCTTCACATCAGAATGCTTAGGAGTGAACTCGTGATGGACCATGTACTCAGGCAAGTACCACTTGGGCACCCTGTAAGTAAAGTTTCATTCAGGCTGTTGACATGAATGCCTTAAAAATTGATTGTTTCTCGTGCGTATTTCAATGTGTTACAGAAGTCTGTCATAGTTACTCCTCATGTGCGTATAATTATGTATTTAAATGCTTTCTCAATGTATTATGATTATAATATTATTATATTATACAATACATTACATTATAAAAGGTATTATGATTTTAACTTTTGATCATTAACTGATCATTTGGTAAGATTTCAAGATAATTAAATATTTAGACAACCATGATGAAACTATAACAAGCAATGACTATTGTGTTAATAGATGTGACCATTGCTTTTGCAATGTCATTACAAAGTTAGTTTTCATAGTTAAACAGGAAAAAAAGGGAACAGAAATTTCTCCGTTGAATATCTGAATCACTGCCATAAACCCTCAGTTAAAATGCAGCTTTATGAGTTACTCGGAGCATCATTTTTATATGTGTTAATAGAGCGAGATAACAAATAAATAAATCCAAATTGTTTTTGTCAATAGGTAACAAGAAAATTAAGTTTGCTATATTAATAGAAAATCACTAGCATAAAAAGTTATCCAGAAATATTTTTTAAAAATCTCCCCTTTTGGGTAAAGTGTTACATTTTTTAAACTACAACAAGTAATCAACAAGTGTGACAGATTATGTGATTTTAAAATCTGTTTAATTCCTTCCACCTCCTCACATTTCTTCTGCGCTCTTTAGAGTTCCCGTTCTCTAGCTCTAAACACAAGCAACCCCCAACAGGACAATGTCCAGCTTTACTTTGTTCTGTTACTTCCGCCGATGATACTCCATAACTCGTCACAGGAAACAAGAACAGCCCTAATCACTGATTTTCTCTTCCTCCCTGTAGTGACATCGCTGACCACCAGTGGCTACGTTCCGCGAACAGCATGAATAAGATTAGGTCCTCACGTGGAAAATTGATTCAAATGTCTTATCATTCTGTGGCACTACACATGGGGCTGTCAGAGCACTGCATCCCAATGATAATATTTTGGGATTCCACTCGAGTATTTTCTAGCTTCTGCACTGAAAGTTTTTTTCCATAATTAGATTTTTTTCACAATAAGCACAGATTTATTTTGGTAAGATAGGTATTTGAGACACATGGAAACCCAGCACAATGTGTAAAAGTCTCCAAGTGAAATTATTAAGAGTTACACATACATATGGTTTCCGTTCACCTAGTAAGGAGTGTTAACTCTCTCCTCAGCAGGACACGTCCTGCTTACCTAATGTATTTGAAGTGCAGGTTGGCAAGCTTGAGGACTCCAGAGAGTACAACGTGTACTAACGAATTTCATCCAGCTAAAACCACAAAGCCTACTTTATCAGAGCACAAGCAGGTTTGCTGCTGCTTGTCCAACTAGGGCTTCGGCTTGCAGCAATATCAGGAGCTGGGTGGGGACAATCCTAACGCCTACTTACATTCTCACAAGGAGGACAGAATATCTATAGACATTTGCTTTATGCTATTAAATATTGTGTCTCCTCACACAGCTGTTTGAAACATGTTAATAAATATTTAATAAGTGAATGAAATTGAGTAAGTGAATGAAAACCTTACAATTCTATTATTTCAATATTGACCTCTGGATATTACCCCTTTCCCACCCAATGTGGCCAAAAATATTTGTGAAATGTTATTGTATTCTAAAGAAAATACTATCCACAATTCAATATCATTACTTTGTAAATGTATATTTGTACTTACTCTGTGCTCCTGGGAGATGGTGGCCCATGTACATACCAGTCTGGTTGCAAGTATAGAATTGGAGAGGTCTTCTTTGGAGGAGGAGTATGATGCCTCAGCAAATCTGTTCATTTGTCAGAATATAAAGAATTTTTTAATTTTTTTAAAGCCAATATTTTGTAAAAAAAATTCTCTCAAGGTTAGAGTATTGGGGTGAAAATGCTATGTGATAGATTATGCGCCTTGGGTATTGTATTATGAAACATCACATGCTTCCAACTACTCCTAATGACTGCTATGAATACCCCAAACCTCTCTCTCCTCCCAACCCCCACCCCACCAACTTCAACAAAATAGTTAGGTTTGAAGTCGCTTCCCAGATTTCCACACCATTATCTTAGTTTCCCACTGACAGCCCTGTCGTTTGTTCCTTACCCTGGAGCTTGCGTTTTAATAATACTTTATGTGATGCTAATTGAGTTATGTTGATATCCCATGAAATTGCACTGAAATGCTGCATAATCGCTGATTTGGAACACTGGAAATGAAATCTGAAATCGTAATGGCTACTAGCGTGTCATAGTGTGTGCAGAGGGAATTCACATTCATGACCAGTCTTTAGGAATAGACAAAAAAATGTGATGTGATGTTTCGTAACAGATTTGATATCAATGATACTGAATCTCTTATGAAGCCACATTTATAATAATAATAATCCTTACATTTGATACAGCGCCTTATCACTTCATCGAGACATCTCAAAGCACTTCGCAGAATAATAATGCTTGCATTTGATATAGCATCTTATCATGTCGTCGAGGCGTCTCAAAGCACTTTATAGAATATATTGTAAAGTGAATTGACTGTATATTTTGTGAGCAAAACGTGGCAGCCAATTGCACAGAGCAGTGTCCCGCAAACAGACGTGGATTGAGTGACCACATTTTTTTTGAGGGATTATTACACCCAGAAAGCGATCGGGTTCCTGCTAGGTAAACAGAGGCATGTGGAGTAAGGAAACTTGCCTAAGATTTCACCCTGCCTGGGAATTGAATCCAGGTCCTCTCGATTGGAGGCAAGCATACTAACCACTACTCCACAGGACTCCACACAGAAAGTTCTGATTACATTTCAAATTGTAACTTATTATGATATTTGTTAGCAATCTTTTTTTAAAAAAACACAAATTTTAAAATAAATGTCTATTCAACAATGTTTTCGTTATAGAAATCACTGTTACAATTTCATAAATAAAAATCTTAAATGTCTTGTTAAAGTGAAAGAAAAATTTCGAGAAAATACTATTCAAGATGATACCCTGCTTATAACATTTATAATTATCATTGCCTCTCCTAAATAATCTTGCACCCTAAAAATGGGAAGAAATACACAGAAATACATTTTCAAAAGAAGAGATTATGCTACTTTGTACATTATTTGTACAGAGTCCTAAAGCAAGAACACCAAAAAAATGCATTTGTATAGCGCCTTTCATATCAGATGGAAGAAATAATAACAATAACAATAATAAAGCAGAAATTGTCTTGGCCTAACACTGGATGAATCATACACTTATGAGGTTTATTACACAATGAACTCTGACTGGATTTTATGCTGATATGGTTAAAACGCCGAAACTCACCTCATCAGTATTGCATCACAAAAAAAACTGAGAATTGGCTTGCTCCATTGATCCTGACATAAACTATTACCAGCATCATCAATAGAAATTCATGAACACCAGACTGTGTGAAGTCCTCTTCTGTTTTTTTAGCACAGATGATCAAAGTTTTTTTCCATTTGTAATAATTAAGTCATCCCACCTTGGGAACTTCGCTTACTCAATAGCCAGATCATCAATGACAGATTGAATTCAAGGGGTTATCAGATTGATTTCCTCCATCTCGGAGTCTATGTCTTCACCATTGGAAGGACTCTAAAGAAATGTCTCCAGGACAAAAGTAGAGGCCAATACAGAATTAGGCATACGTTACCTTTTCTCTATTAGTTTGCTTCCAGACCACTACAGCAGTGACAAGAAGGTTGAGCATTCGTATTCAAGGAATAGAGCAAGTGAAAGCACGAATATGCCTTGTATTCAATGTAGAAACTTTTATTTTTTGATTCCTACAGTGACAGAATTCCCTGGGTAGCTGAAATCAGGCAGAACAATTCTGCCATCTGCTGGTTGATAATTCACTCATTTGGGCACACTGTAATTCTTCCTTGCCACACGCGAAGTGATTTGTCACCTCCAAAAATCTCCACTCCATCTTTGGAGTAATTGAGATTTTATCCCTCCCCAAGTTTGGGCAGAATGCACAATTTTAGCATTGTATGATCAGAGGAGTACTGTCTAGTTTCCAAGATATGAAGATGAAAATATGCAAAGGCTAATCAGACTGTGTGCCAGTGAGACTTCTGGATTAATGTACTATTGAAATGAACAATTATAGTATTATATTATAACATTATTATAATACAGTATTTATTCTTTTTTTCTCCAACCTCACATACTCAGACATGTACACGTCTATTCTTTACTCCATACTGCTTATTGATTACATTGTTGGGATGAAGGATACGCCATCTGAGAAAAATCCACTTCCCTATTCTCCAGTTATCATCATCTCCAACCATTCTTTCCGCTCCAAGGCCCTGGAACGAGTCATCGCTTCCCAACTTCAATCTTTCCTCTCCCGCCATTCCCTCTTCGAACCCCTCCATTTGGATTTCCATGCTGTCTAAAGCATGGAAACAGCCGTGGTCAAAGTCACTAATGACATTCTGAATATCGGTGACCAGGGCTGTCTCTGCCTCCTTGTCCTCCTCGACCTCTCTGCTGCCTTCAACACTGTCGACCATTCTTCTATCCTCCTACACTATCTCTCCTCTCAGCTCAATCTTTACGGATCTGCCCTTGTCTGGTTCAAATCCTACCTCTCGCACTGTCTCGCCATTAACGGCTTCTTCTCCAGCCCCCGCACCGTCACGTGTGGTGTCCATCAGGGCTCTGTCCTTGGCCCTCTCCTTTTCAACATCTTACATGCATCCTCTTGGTGACATCATCCGCAGACATGGGGTCAACTTCCATATGTATGTGGACGACACCCAACTCTACCACCCTTCCTCCATCCTCGATTTCAGGACCACTGCTCTCCTGACAGACTGCCTGTCAGACATCATGTCCTAGATCAGAGCTAACTGCTTGCAGTTGAATGTCAACAAGACCGAGGCCCTCCTGCTTGGCTCCCGTCAGAGTCTCCACAACTTGGTCGCTGACAGCATCTCCCTCCATGGATGCACTCTACATCTCACAGAGCCAATACAGAACCTCAGCGTCCTGTTCAACCCTCAACCGTCGTTCATACCCAAAATCCATGCCATGATCCGCTCCGTCTTTCCCCACCTCTGCAATATCACTCGGATCCGCCACTATCTCACACTGCAGGCTGCTGAGACCCTCATACATGCATTCATAAAATCCAAGCTCCACTACACAAACTTCCTGCTTGTCGGCCTCCCCAACTCCTCCCTCCATAGGCTGCAGACCATCCAGAACTCTGCAGCTTGTGTGCTTTCCCGCACCAGGCTCCATGACCCTATCACCTCCATCCTCGCCCGACTCTACTGGCTTCCCATCACACAGAGGATACAGTTCAAGATTCTGGTCCTGACTTTCAACGAACTCCATGGTTTTGCTTCCCCCCTATCTCTTCGACCTGCTAACCCCCTACTAACCTGCCTGCTCCCTCCACTCAGTGGGCTTCAGCCTGCTTTACGTCCCCCACCTCACCTCACCCCACCATTGACAGACGGGCTAATCAGCCATTCTGCCCCCACCCTCTGGAACTCCATGCACTCCTTTGCACTCCAAAGGCAATTTAACTGTTCATAAATATACTCAATAAATACAAAATATCCAAAATAAATTTTAGGGATTGAATCAAGATGATTCAATCCCTAAAATCAAAAATATAATACCAGCTATATACAGGATACAGTACATGAATGAAATACTGAGGAGAAAAAAAGCAGTCAAGCATTGGATACGAGTATGCTTACCTGGCCTGCCTCCTTGTTTGGAAAGCTTTATGAAGTCAGAGTCTGTGTCTCGAATCCATTTTCTGCGGTTATCAAAGGTAATTTCCTTGTGAGGTTCTGCAAGGTCACTTAGGCCTGGGATCTGGGACGTTGGTGGAAGTTGTACTTCCACTCTCTCTGGTTTGTTAACTGGCTTCCGAGGAGCGTGGTAAAACCAGTCTACAGAAACACAAGCGCGTTGGTATGTTATAGCAAGGTGTTTCAGTAATTCCCCAATTAGCTGTTTCCACTAAAATGTCAAACAGCTTCCGAAATAGGTTCAAGAAAGCATCATTTTGATAATTAGTCTACTGTTGTGATATGTCTCTAACTACCAACCTTTGCTTTGTTGCAAAGAAGCAATCTAACCAAAATACAGTTATAAGTATTGTTACAAATCACTTACTACAACAGATTGCTGCTCAGATGCCAGGGAAGCTTCATTGAAATTAAATTAGAAATTCTGACACCAGTTTGCTAATAAAAACATTATTTTGTCAGTTACCACAAATCTGTAATAACCAGAGTCAAACAAATTTGAACTTATCACCCAAGTCTAACATGTGCAGAATAAAAATATCTTTATTTCCAAACCATAGTCTTAACTTTCCACAAATCTCATAGAATGAGCATTTCTCACTTATACTGAGATATATTATTCCTGCAAAAAAAGACTATAGTTTGCTATTTCTGTACCTTTCTGCCTGAGATTTGTGAGGTTGAATGAGTCAGTGAACTGACAGAGAGATGTCAGCTTTTAAAAAGCCAGTATCCCACTAACCACAGTTAAATGTTATGGTCCACGTCAGTTTCAGGCACTTCACCGATCAGAGTGGTGAAATATCAGTAAAGAGTGAGGGTCCAAATCAGGCCCAATCAATGTGATGAATATCATGGCCTGCAAATATGATACCAATATTTCAAATGACCTCACCACTATTGGAATACAATGTTGGAAATGCATATGACACTACATGCACAACGATAAACCTCCTCACTGATCCTGTTATATTCATCCAGAATAATTCTCCCCACCCACGACACCATAATCAACATTAAAATCTGTAAAGCAGGATTCACAACATTGCCTTACACTAAACATTTTAAATGAAAGGTTTACACAGAAACCTTTCACTGACTGTTAGTGGGATATGGGTTTTAAAAAGCCAGATTCATACTGAGCAACAGTCAAAATGTCACATTTCACAAGTCCAAGCTTGTACATTCTCCTCAACGACTCTGTTATTTATCAGGAATTATTAGAATTTTATAGATTACCCCTCCAGAGGTGCTCTATATACCCTAACATGATCAGCACCTTTTACTTCCGGTGCCTAAGACTTTTTTTGGTATAATAAGCAAATTCCCTGAATATTATTTTCTTTAAATGACTCACTCCCATGTAGTGTGTTTGTTTGCCAGAATAAATGCAATACATTTTGTGTTTCAGTTGAAGAGGAGCTATCAGTAACACAATCCAAGTAGAAAATTCAGCGTATTATACATTTTACATCTGGTTGCCAGATATTTTAATGTATTGGATTATAAATAGTATTTACAGCAAAAGTAAATTTATTTTGTAGCACTTCATTTTCATCAAAATGCAACGACTGATGCAATAGCTTTACACTAATCTTCTTATATTGTAGTAAAGCTAGATTTAGCAAGAAATTATTTTGCAAATTTCAAAGATATAAATCTATTACAAAATTACTTCTTGTTTTCTACGTAATAAGTTTTATTGAGCACTAGTTGGATAAAATGAATGACTTGTTTGGACACTCCAAGCCACTTTCTGTAGTACACTGAAGAATACAAACCAGGGCAACTGAAAGTATTTAGGGAGTGGTGTACGAGTGGACCTCGTTTATTAGGTCCACTGACTCTCCCTAAATAATCTCATTGACCAGCACCTTGGGACATCCTCCCAAAGTGTAAGGCGATATATAAATACAATTTGTTGTTGGTGTGCAAATTATCACATTGCATACTTAATTTCCTCCCCCTCTATTCTAACTGTTCAAACTAAAATCATTTGCTTTTAATCCATATTATGGTGGGGCGTCTGTGGGACACCCTCCCGACATGAAAGACACTCTATAAATGTAAATTTTGATGTTGTTTGTTTTATTATGATCACAAAACTGCAACTAAAATAAAATAGAAGTGAGTATTTTAGAAGTCAAAATAGACGAGGAGTAATTAATGTTGAGTAGTACTCAGGTTGAAACAACAGTTGATTTCACCAAGTCTTGTGAGATGCCTTGAGAGCTTCTGGAAATAAATGTTGCTTTTTCAAGGGACCTCACGTTTGTACAATAAAATTAGATTAAACCTCTATGCACTTGGAAGGTTTTCCTGGCTCTTGATACATCCTGTGGATATACTGTCTGGTGCATATACCACAATTGTTTAGTTCCTGAAATGACCCTGTGTTCAGGGAATAATTGCTGCATTCAATTGCACATAGACATTGAGGATCCTCCTAAAACAGACTCAATCAACTGACACAGCTCTGTCATTATCTCCCTTGTGAACCTAAAACCTCTAACACACTGCTCGTCCAGTACATGCACATAACCAAGTTGCGGGTTCAGTCTTAATTAAGGTGTAAGGCTTGTCTACTGGTTCATCACCCATACACTCCATTCCTTTATCACAAGATGATATACCATCTATTTTGTGTAGTACTTTTTTTCCCATGGTGGTACTGGGCATAGACCAGAATTTGACATATTACACACTGGGGCTTTACCAAATGCAAGAATTACAACTTACCACTATAATAACCAAAACGTGTGCTTTTTCAATTGATTGGATTTGTTCATTTATTTATTTTTAATCTACTGACAAAATCCATTAGTCTGTACATTAAACCCATGTTGGAAAATACATTTGAATGTTATTTAGATACACATTTATATTTAAGTATAAAGGCAGACTGTTAAAATGAATTTTCTGAAAGGTGCTAAATTAATGTAAAAATCACCAACATTTGTAAAATAGTTCTCAGTAATAATAGTCCTTATATTTGATATAGTATCTTTCATATCAGAAGGACATCTCAAAGTGCTTCAGAGGATTGTAAAGTGTAGGGATTGTACAGGGTGACCAAAAAGTCATGATATCTACCCTATTATCTAAAAAAAAATCATAATTTCTTTAAGACTTATTAGACATTGTAATGGTATCACAACTTTTTGATCACCCTGTATATTATTGGCGATTGCCTACACTGTATTGCTTAACTCCAATCTTAGAAAAACACCCATTCTGTATCCATTCCCAATTCTCAAACTAACCATCCATATAACCTTTCTCAGAAGCAATAACAAGTTGCAGCATTTTGTGGAGGATTAATGATTACTGAAAACTGAGCACAGCAGGTCCCGATCAATTTCACTTAGAATCCATAGTGCCAACCAACAGTATGTCAAACAGCAGTCCGGACAGGATTCAAAGCTGTTTCCAAAGGTGCAGTTCTCTATCGGAATACTATATGTTGTCTAGCTTGGTAATAGAGCTGTGTAACTCAACAGAAAGCATACTAAGGTCAAGCACAGCCAGTAATTTCAAAGTGTAATATCAACAACAACAACAAATTGCATTTATATAGCGCCCCTCACATTGGAAGTTCCAACATCCTAAGGAACAATAACAACATTTTGCATGCTCAGGATTTCAATATTCTCACCCTCACATACTTCCTCACATACACCCTCACCCTTCATGCCCTAGCGCCTGCCTACCTCTCTGATCTGCTCTTACTCCATTTCTCTGCCCATCCCCTTCGCTCAGCTGACATAGGCCTGCTGTGTATCCCTGACCACTCTATGCCACCACCAGTGGCCATGTCTTCAGTCACTATAATAATAACAATCCTTGCATTTGATATAGCACTTTTCACGTCTTCTCAACATCTCAAAGCGCTTCACAGAATAGACTGTAAAGTGAATTGACCATATATATTTTGTGGGCGAAACCCGGCAGCCAATTGCGCACAGCAGTTTCCCATAAACAGTCGTGGATTGAAAATGACCAACTTATTATTGTTTTGTTTTGGAGGGATTATTATTAGGCGTGTGGAGTAAGGAAACTTGCCCAAGGTTTCGCCCTGCCTGGAATTGAACCCAGCTGTCTCACTTGCAAGGCAAGTGCTCTAACCAATGAGCTACAGGACTCCAACTATGCTTTTAACCACAAGAATTCCATGCTTCACACCTTCCACCTGCCACGCTCTACCTTTAAATCCCACCATAGATTTACATCTTCAATTGTGCATAGGGTCAATCACCTCCCACACCCCTTTGCTTGACATCCAATCCCACTATTCTATAGCATTCCAAAGTGCCCTTCACAAAAAAAGTGCCTTGACATTAATGACGTGGAAAGTCAAGCAAGAGAGAGGAGAGAAGGGAATACTGAGGTAACCATATTCGCAGTCTAAGATATACAATAACAACTTGCATTTATATAGTGCACTTCACAATTGTGGCAGATCGAATTCAACTTGGGGAAGTGTGAGGTCATTCACTATGGATCCAAAAATAAAAACAGAATATTTTCTAAATGGTGAGAAACTAAGAACTGTGGAAGAACAAAGGGATTTGGGTGTCCACGTACGCAAATCACTAAAAACAAGATCAGAGTTACAAACTTCTTCCATTTTGCCAAATAAGGGAAAGAGGGCGAAATTGTGTTATGTGCTGTGATAATTATTACGTAGACTTTTTAATCCCCCTAAGAGATCAATTAGGAAGTGTTTAAACAACACTATACTTTGTAATGTAGAATTTGCTAATGCCTAATAAATTATTAACTTTGCATTTAACGTCTTGTTTAATATTAACATAAAATCATGTACACCAATCTCAAATTTACATAAGTTTGGTCTCATGAAGAGAGAGCAAAATTAAATGTTGAATGTGACTTACTCTATTTCTCAAATAAAATCAGTGGTATTTTTACCCTTTTTATTGTTATGTAGAAAGTGCTACTAAAGAGATCTTTATACCAACTTAAAGATGAAAGATAATGAAAAGGTGACCAGATTCTAGCCTCCATAAGTTCCTGTATTTTAATGCCTATTACTAATGTTCTCATGGAAATGCAAAACAATCTAGATCTATGGGAGCTGCTAACAAATTAAATCAGATTAAAATATAAAATATTTTTTCATA